ATCAAGGTAATAGTGCTTGAAAGTTCACAACAGTCGAAGTTTTCTTACTGCACTTACTGGCCATAGGCGTCTGGTGTTTCAAGGGAAAGCATTTTTCTCACCACGAAGTTAAACAACCCCGACCATGGAGAAGAGGAAGCTGCTCTATTTTCCTCCCTCAAGAACCTCGACACCCCTTATCTCGACTTATGTGCGTCACCCAATGAAACATCCTGTGCCTAATGATCCGCTTATTGTTTTGTGCAGGGCTTATGCACTGGCCCGCCCCGATGACCAAAGACAGCAAGTAGAGTGATTGGTTGTTGATCCATGCGTCAGCTGCCTTACCAAGTACAATCATTAGTGAAGCCCGACTTTAGCAAGGACTGGCTGGATACCTGGAAGGCCATGGAAAAAGTCTATCAAGAGCACCCGAATAAAGTCAAGGCTATAGGTAAGCATGGCGTAGCACGGCGATGGACGACTGTCGACAAATCTTTCCTAACTTGCCCTTCATCTAGGTGTCTCCAATTTCTCTGTAGAATTCCTTACCCGTCTTCTCAAGGAAGCCACCATCGTTCCCGCTGTGAATCAGATTGAACTTCATGTATGTTCATTCCTCAACATTCATGGCAAGGCGTACTGATCACGCTTTCCTTTGACTTTAGCCGTAAGTTGCTTGGCGCCTTTGAGCTGTCTTCGGGTTTCCATCATGCTCATCATTCAGCCTCTAGATCTTGTCCACAAGACGCTGAACGTGCTCTCTGCAAGGAGAACGGTATTGTTGTTACTGCGTACTCACCTCTCGGATCGGACAACTCACCGCTGTTGACAAATGACGTCGTTGTCGCCATTGCCAAGAGGCACGATGTAAGATTTAATTGCAAACCTAATCCTATAGTCAAATCAACTGACGGTGCTAGTCTTAGGTTCACCCGGCCAACATTCTCATCTCTTTATGGGCAAACGTTGATAACACTACTGGTAAGGCTATTCTACTGTGGTCATCACGCATTGGCTGGTGCTGACCTGGTGCGCATCCAGTCATCCCCAAGTCCGTTAGCAATACGAGGATAAAGAACAACTCCAACATCATCTCTCTCTCTGATGAGGAGTCAGCCGAGTTACTGAGAATCGCTGAGACTCGCCGGTACCGCGCATGCGGCCCTGAGTGGACTGGACATGGACATCTTGGATTCGAAGATCGCAAGATCCCAAAGTAGATTATGGTATTTTCTTCTCGAATGATCACAATACTGAGAAGATGCTTTCAAGGAGTATTCGCCGACCCCGTTCGAAGCTGTAAAGACGGATAGAGGAAATCATTTTAATTTCCAACATGCAATTCGTTTGGACCATCGGTTAACAAGGGCTCAATCGTTTGACTACTGTCTTGATGATCAATACCGTTCGCTCAGACGACGTATCGGCATAATCATGCCCCGAAATGTACGAAGGGGATCCACCTCTCCAGGCCCCCTCCATGTATTTTGACCTCTTTCCTCAACGCCCTTACCGCGGCTGACAGCGCCTTCGCCGTGTTTGAACAATCCTTAAAGTTTCCATCTACGTCAACCATTTGCTGGTAGAATTCGCGCGCGACTAGAGGCCCATCGACGTCCCAGATGCTCCACATTGTGCCGATGACACTGCGGAAGCCGGCGAATTGCATGCCACCAGCTAAGTGGATCGCTTCGTCCGGTGTTTCGTGATCTCCAGCAGCAGAGTGACAAGCGGAGAGCATAGCAAGTTCGGCGAGGGGCAGACGCTTTTTGATGATCTCGATGAGATAGAGAGGGCCGTCCGCGAGTGCAAAGTCGGAGCGAAACAAGTCTTGGTGACCATGGCACGCAAAGTGAACCCAAGCGTGGTCATCCAAGCCGGCCAGAACAGCCTCTCTGGTGCATTTTTCACCTTTGAGGATGGTGATATCTGGGATCCTTTTCATAATCCCGGCTAGCTCATCTCCAAGGTGTGTAAGTATAGCCTCTCCGGGCGCGTTTGCATTTCCAATGAAGAGCGCCATTCTCTTTGACTCCCGTGAAAGGTCCATAACAGGAAGGCCTTGACGGGAGCGATTGAGGGCTCCCAACGTGGGAGTATACGAACAGATGAAAATATCTTGGAAGTTCTGCTTTCCGTCATACGGTCCAGCTGCGTGTAATGGAAGCAACCACGTCATGGCCGTCGGACACCACCAAACCCGGGAACGATCGGGTAAGTGGAGATCCCTCTTTAGGCGAACGGTTACCGGACGCACCACCGCCTTCCATAGTTTCCGAAGGACGGCGACGATGTTTGCCTGTTTCGTTACTTCTTCCGCTGGTTGCTGCGGTTGGCTAGACATTGCATCTCTAAGGTCGTCGGAGAGCGTTTGGATGTAGGCAGGAGTTGCCTCAGGAAGGGGCACGACGATGGGAGTGTCGGCATTGCCAAGTACGATGATGGCATCTGATCGATAGTTGCTGACATTCACAATGACGACTGGCCCACTCTCCGCCGCCCTTGAGATTAAGTTGAATGGAGTTGTTCCTTGAAACGTCGCAAAGCTGGGTATTGCGCGGATCTGATCGACCACGGCCCGCCACTCCGTCCAGATCTCGTGGTACCTTGGAGGTAGAGCTTCAGCATCGCTACTCTTGACGATTGATTATGGGTTTCTTTCTTACCTGCCAGATTCATCAAAGCTCCGGTCACGACTCATGCTCATCTTGTTACCTGAAACCACTGAGCTCTCTAACTTGGCGCTCAGATCCTCGAATTGATCCGCCAACTCTCTGTTCGTGTCCTGGAGATCATCCAAGGAAGTCCGATAGCGCCCAAGTTGGTTAAAAAGCAAGCTTCTACCTTGCTCCAAGAGCTCAACAGCATCACGAGGCTGATTTTCCTCGATCGCTAACGATGCTGCGTCGTAAACTATGTTGGCGAAGCTAACCGACTCTGGACCGAGGGCGACCTCTCTGGTCAGATGTTCGTGCTGACGCTCTAACACCCGAGCAACAGTTATAGAAGTATCCATGAGTTGTATCGCCGTTCGATATGCGTCTAAAGCTGACGGGTGTCCGAATTCGCGAGCCACGTAGACCCAACTGAAGGACGCATTTAATCGGATTGGCAGTACCGTCGCTCCTTGGGTGCAGATCTCAATCAGTAGGGAGATTATCTCCCCTTCGTCTTTGACACGAGCAGACTTATTATCTACAGATTATATCAAGCTTAGGTAGGTCTTCCCAGACTAGCAGACATAAGTGCACACATACCTCCCTCCAGTTCCCTCTGGCAATCGCGTTGTACGCGTTGTAGCCGTGCGAGAAGCGCTGACGAAAGCGCGATGAGGCCGGCCGGCCGGTCGGGGGCTCCCTTTGGAAGGAACTCGAGGGATTGGCGAAAGTAAGTGATTGCTTCTTCAAGTTTCTCAGGATCCTTGGTCTCAAGGAACCTGGAGTGAAGAGCCGAACCGAGGCTGTGAAGGGAGAAGGGGCGATAAGGGTTATCTACAGACCTAAGGCGCAATGACTCTTGGCAGAGCTCGATCACTTCCGATAAATAATCGCCACCATCTGTCTCTCTCGAGAAATGGAGCAGTGCACAAGCAAGCCCGTCAAGGCTGTCGGACCGATCGGTATGCCCCATTGGTCGTAGTCCAAGAGCCGACCGATGATATTTGACGGATTCTTTCAGATCATCCAAGTTCCTATGAAGGTCAAAACGAGCGACGAGAGCATTGGCGAGGTTGCCGATGGTGCACGGACGCTCCGGGCTCCCCTCTTGGCAGCAGTCTAGAGCTTCGCGATGACACTTGATCGCCTCGTCGATATCCGCATGGTCTCCCATCTGGTCGAAGCGCGTGGCGAGCATCACACCCAGACCATCAAGACAGTTAGATCGATCTATGTCGCCTTCCTGGAGAGCTACAAGCGACTTCGTGTAGTAGGATATTGCGTCGTTCAGGTCCGAGCGATTTCCGTAATGGATGAAACGTGAGTTGAGGGCGGCTGCCGTGTGGCTGAGGTATACCGCCCACTCCGCGCTACCTTCTGCGGAAGCTTCGAGAGTCTCTCGATGGCACTGAAAGGCCTCCTCGAAGCTCGGCAAATCTGAGCTGCGCTCAAACTGTGCCCGAAGCATGATGGCCAGATCGTCCAGAGTGTTCAGGCGATCCGGATGGCCTTCAGGACGGAGATCCAGCGCCTCTCGGAGATATCCAATAGCTTCGTCAAGGTTTGCTTGATCCCCGACTTGCTGATAACGTTCATGCAGTGTTGTAGCCAGATCGTAAAGAGTAATTGCACGGTACGAGTTGCGCTTCGTTCGACGTTTGAGTGCTAATCGATAGTACTTGACGGATTCCTCCAGATCGCCTTGCCTGCTGAAAAGGTCAAACCGATTGTTGAGGGCGGTGGCCAAGGATTCAAGACAGGACGAATATCCGATATGAGGACATGGCAGCAGAGTCACTATCTCTTGGAGATGATGAATGCGCTCATCGAGATCTGCCGAATTCCCGATCGTATGGAATCGTTTGTTGAGCGTTCTAGACAGGTTGAGAAGGCTTAACGCCCGTTTTGGATGGCCTTTTTGGCGCAGCGCAAGCGCTCGTCTCAGGCAGACAACGGCCTTTTGGACCTCGCTATGCTTCTTATTTTTACCAAATCGTTGTGCATGATGGACCCCTAGAGCATCTAGTTGTTTGGCCTTGCGATTGTTCTTGATGTTCCGCAAACGCTGTATGAAAGCCATGATTGGCACGAAAGGCTGACTTTCAAGATGCGCATGACAAGCTCACTCTTTTTGCACTTGAATTGACAATATCTGTAGGTGATGCAGCTGGAAGCCTAGGCGCCATGGTCGAGGGGTTGAGGCAATGGCCAGAGCTTTAACCACACGGAGATAACGGATTTCAGACCGTGTGCAAACGATCTCCTGATAGGCATTGCAAACCTACCTATTCAGTGCGCCTTTCAAGTTGCAACAACCGGTAAATAATTCCCCCGTAATCGCTGGTCGACTTAAAAAAAGTTTGACACGTAACGGACTTGAACCGTTGACCTTCAGGATGCTCCATGCTGGAATCTGACCGTCTACCACTGACATAACGCGTCATGATGGAACTCG